TTTGTTTTGTCCTTTGTGTCTTGTGCACGCACTCGTTCTTTCTGTCTCTGTCTTGCTCTCTCTCTCTGCTTCCCGGCTGCAATGATCTGACCAGATTCCTCTGCCACATGTTCGGTCATGAGGTTCTGTCTCACCTCAAGCTCAGAGTCATGGAGTATGGATGGAGAACTCTGAAACTGTGAAAACAAAATAAACTCTGCCTCTTCCAAATTGTTCTTGTCGGGTACTTTGATCGCAGCAATATTAGGCTGACCAACACAGACCCTCTAAAGGAACTCCAACCCTTGCTGACACCTGCATTGTGACCTTGTGACAGACTCTAAAGCAGAGGAGCCTGGGGAGTTTTCCTGGCCTCCTGATGCACAGAAAATGAAATGAGCTGCACACCTTGTTTTGAGTGAGCCAATCTGTGTCAACTCATGATGCAGAAAAACAGTACAGACCTTGTTCACACAGACACGGGCTCAGAATGCCAGAACATGAAACTAAGAACCCACCAGGCATGATAATAGCAAGTCTCTTTCACTGTCTTCTTTGCCTGAAAATGTCACTTCAAGAAACAGCAAAAGAAAGAGATGACAAGACATATTGTGGCCTCAAACTGTACCACTGTTTGCATTTGGCTCAAACCAAAAGAAAACTTGATGGAAATGATCTCATGGAGACAAGGGTTAATTGGTCTCATTCAGAGTGTCAAGGTTAGGCCATCAGGGGCTCATAGAGCAACTTGGATCATAACCTTATTCTATCTTCCTTCTCTGAAAGGTGAACTTTTGAAATGACTGCTGTCATACCCAACCAGACTGACACAGTATAGTAAATTGTAACAGTGAACCACAAAATTAAACACGTGATCCAAATCACTGTAAAACAATAGGGAAAGACCAAGAGATCACACATCATCTCTTATTCTTGAATGAACAGATTGTCTTCCCTCCCACCCTGTACTCTTGGGTATTTTTTTTCTTTTACAGTTTTTTTTTTGTGATCATATGTGACTCTTATTAATTAATCAGAAGAAAAAATATTGTTTGAGAGTTGTACATAAAATTGATAGTTCTTGTTTCTTTTATCATGTTTACAGTCAGCTTCCAAATCAAAGACAACCCAAAGGGTTGAATTTAAAACAATTGACATTTTCTAAATGGTGGAAATAATGGTAATTTTGGCAGGGTCACAGAAACAGATGTATAGTCCCAACCCTGTAGGAGCTGTTTTTTTTTTCAGTTGAAAACTCTGTTTATAATCAGAGAAAACAGTTTAGAGAAGGAATAATGTTTGATTCAAGTGCCTGGTGCTAAGTACTGTTGGCAGGTATTCTAGAAGGGGGAGCCTAAGATTCTGTTTGTTTGGAAGTTCTACTTCTTTATTTGGGCTGAAAAAATAGCAGGGGCAGAAATGCAAGGGGTAAAATGTAAATTATTTCCTTTATTATGGGCACACATCCGGGTCACCACATTGATTTGTTAAAAGAAGCTGAGACCTAGAAATAAAAAGGATCACATTGCATCTGTTGCTTGGCAGTACAAGCACCAACCTGGATGTAAATGGGACTAGATTTCTTGTGGCACCTGCTAGAAGTGTGACCCAGGGCATTTCTGGATTGTACAGTGAGGATTTCACTGGGTTTAATTGATATTACACTATGAAAATGTAAAATTACATAGCACAATGCCAAAGCATGTAAGATAATAAATGCTGATAAATATCAGTATTATCTAGAGGGCTTAGCATCTTTGAAAAGAAGGAAAAAAAGACAGCATAAAGGTGATGGGAGAGGGAGGAAGCTGGCCAAGAGGTTGCTCATAGGTGGTAGATCTGATCTTACTGCCAGAAATGACCCCACAGGGGGTAGGCTGAAGCTTCCCTTTCCCTTCAGGAAGTATGCACATGTGTGGATTAGCAAAAACTATCTTTCCTCAGAACATCTGCTGAAAAATTGTAACAAACATATAAATCTATTGTAGAGGTAAATATTGATCTTACAAGTTGTATAGTGCTATATCTGCAAAATTAAACATTATATATAAAATTATGTAATCTGGTGGGTCCCTTTAAAGTCTTTCTGGGTCAAGACGGGGTATATGTATAAATACATTGTATTAATATGAAGAAGAAGTTTGATGCTCAGGACAAGAAGAGAGAAAAAAATGGAAGTGAAGGAGGAGTGACCAGCCAGAACCTGCCCGTCTCCACCCTGTTTTGCTGGGATAGCACTAGGGAAGATCTACATATTAGCAAACACTGCCTAGGATGAGACTAGTCTGAGGTGTGGGCCCAATACCTCACAAATGTCAATCAAAAGCAGATCTTTACACAGTTAAGATAGGACACGTGGTACTCCCAGAAGTTGGTTCGAATTGAAAATAAAAAGTTAAGAAAGGTGGATTTCAGGTTTGTCGTGGAAGCAGGCAGGTTGTACATACATGAAGGGTTTAAGCTGCAACCATGAGTCAGAATCTGAGATCATGTGGGACTTCGGGACTGGACACTACCAGAGGGGTTAAGCAGGTCACAGTGTCCTAGAAGGCAACTGTCCTGGGGACACTGGTCAGTGTCAATCTGGGTCTAGTCTTACAGCTACAGGGCAGGTTCTATATAGTGGGACTGGAGCAATTTTAAGGATCTGCTCATTGGAGCTGAACCAGGCTATGAGGGTAATTACAGGGACCAGGGCAAAGTGCAGGTACTTGCTGGTACCCTGGAGGACAAGATAATTTGTTGAATAGGTATTGGACTACTTCTCTTTGGTCACCTCTTGACCAAGTTTTGAGAAAGGGTAAGTCCAAGCCTTGAACAAAGCTCAGGTGGTCCCTGCTGTGGGGTAGCAAGCAGGTTAGCAAGAGAAATCCCACTGGGAGATTAGGTCCAGTGTCCTCCAGCTTGGAACCTGCTTCCTCCTGGTTCTGCCTCTGTAGGAGCCTCATTTGAAAGCCTTAACTCTGGTCTAACCTGGTCAAACCTTGCTTCTTTGTTTGATGATCCCACACTCTAACTCCAATTAATCCTTACCATGGAATTCAGGAGACGGAGGCCAAGTTCCTTCCCTTGAGATCAATCCCAGTCATTTATGATGAGTTAAAGAGAAGCCTGGCATTTTCTGGAAATATTTGCCTTCCATATGTTTATCCCTGTTACTAGCAGTTTTTTGGGATTCTCTTACCCTGTTGTTACCTTGTTCATTTACTGATCCATGAGAGCAATTTTCCCAATTTTGTTCTCCACTTTTCCCCTACCCAGACTCGAATTTTGCACCATGTTGGGCTTCTGTGAGCTGTATTATTTGCTTGTTCTCTATCTACTTTGAAGTCTTGGATTTTAACCTCTTTTGCCTCCTATGAATTTTGCCACTTTAATTCCCTAAGTCATTTTTTTCCACTAATAATTTATTGAGAGGCTGCATTTTGCAAAAGCCTGAATGTCACAAGATCCACAGACCCCAGGGATCCTAATCTAGGAAGCTAATTAAAATTCCCCCATTTGCCTCTACTTAATTCTCAGGTAACAACATTACTCCTTTCACAAATTTTGTTTGAAAACTTCTACTTATGAATGCCTTTGATATTTTATACTTCCGCACCTTATGAGATAAATAAGGTTCTGAAGAAACTATTTTTCCAATAACTGCTTAGTTTAAGTCTGGATGACATAGTTATCATAGAATTAGCTGGAAAGAAAAGAAAAATCTTGATTGAACACTAAAGTCTTTTCTATTCTGTAACATGATTTTTTTTTGACCTACATTCTGTCCCTGGAAAGGCAAGTGACTGTAGATGATTCTTTTTAAAAAAATTAGTTAAATATTAATATAAAAAGGACCCATTTATTAACCAGATTTATTTGATTATCCCCCAAACCTGCCAGACAGAAAGTTCCTTTTACCCACCTTCATTGTTACCCTGTGAGCAGCTCTCTCCATAGCAACTGAAAACTTCTCTGGGCTGAAATAATCCCCTCTGGCTCCCAGTGTACAGTCAAGGAATTTTAAAAACAGGGGACTTTGAAACCACGAAATGCTCTCTGAGATTTAAAAGCCTGCAGAGCTCCAGATAAATAATCGTTTATCTTTCTTAAGGTAAGCACTGGGTTTAGAAATGTTTGTATCATCCTCTGTCATTTTAAAAATGCTAACATAAGAACCTTAAGAAAGATTCTTAACCACCCCTGCCCCCTTAACCTCAAAAGTATTCCCAGTATCTTTGTTACTACCCCAAGGTCATTATTAGCTCATCCCTGGGTCAGAATCTGAGATGAGTTGCTGTTAACATTTTGTATTCCTTAACCAATCTACTGAAGAAATTTGGTTTTCTCCAAAAGCTGATTGGCTTAAAAGTCATTTCCTATCCCTTTAATCACTATCGAGTGAGTGGATTGATCAGGGCTTCTGAGATCTTGCAATCTTGTTTTCCTAAGATAATTCATTCTCCAGAATCTTGATTCTTAACTAAAGAGTGACCAGTATTTTATGAACATTACTATTTTTTTCCTCCAGTACTTTTCCTTGTCTGAAAACTTCTAACTCAACAATTTATTGGCAATATATGGAATTTATTTTTCCTTCATTTTTATTCTCTTACTTTAGTGATGAGTAAATTTCATGGGGTTCTTTACAATGACCTTAGAGGAGGGTGTTTCCTTTCCAGGTTTGGTAACTTGTGTCACCTGCAGAAAAAAAGAGACAATTTACTCTTCCTAATGTTTGGCTGTTTCAAGACAGGCAATCTGACATGCTTTTCTGTAGCTGCAAAGTTTACAGCCAAGATAGTTTCCTGCCTGCTGTTTGGGGTTATAAAAATTACCTACAGACCTCCCGTTGTTCAGAAACAGCTTGTCATTGCAAATCAGCTTAGCCACCCAATTAATGAATCCTTTCAAACATGTTGCAGACACAATAATTGAAGCCTTTATTTCCCCCCGCCCTTTACCACAGAAATTCTTCTGGTCTCAAGTTTATCCTGTGAACAGCCACCCACTCACACCTACCTAAGACAGATTCAAGGTAAAGGAAGCGTGGAAATGTGTTTGTGGACCAAACATTCAGAAATTTGGGTACCATTGTTCTTTCTACTCAGCCTCATTCCCTTGACTGAGACAGTCAAACCCTCAACCAAGGACAGCAGCAGCACTGGGAGTCAAGGCCAACTGGCAGAAGTACTACAGGTTCTCTCTGCTGGTGACCACCCGCCCCTCAACCACTCACGAAGCCTCATCAAAACATTGTTGGAGAAGACGGGGTGCCCCCGGAGGACAAATGGAATACGAGGAGATTGTAACCTGGTTAGTGAAATGCAATGGGGTCAGGTGCCAAGGTGTGTTCCAAAGAGAGTAATGGATGCTAGGGTTGCTTACTTCAGCAAAGCAAAAGGAAATGCAGATCTTCTAAAACCCAAGTGGGCAATGCATTGTGGTCAAATAACATCCAGATTTGGGATCCAACAAACCATTCAGCATTCTGCAGAGAATACTTAAAGATAGAGAATTTGTTGTTGTTGTTGTTGAAAGGGTAATGTTTATGTTTTTGAGAACACTTCTGTATGTTTAGAGGTATTTATGAGCTTGAACTTTTAGTCCTTTCTTCTTTCTAATTTTATAATCTTTTTTTGAGCCTGCAATCAACTTGCCAGTGACTAGTTAGATAGATGCTATTTGTTTTCTGTAGTGTAATTATAGCAGTCTAATGTTTGTCTCATGTTCAATGTTTGAGTACTTTTTTTCTAGATGTTGATTGGGGTTTTCCGATATTTTTTCATGGTAGGAAGTTCATGATTGGATAATTGTCTTCATAATGACCAATCTGAGCTGAGGGAGAGAAATGCTACATACAGGTAGACCTGAAATTAGATCCATGACTTCTGAGGTCCATAGCACAGCTTTCTCCTAGTCTACAAAGTGGATCCCCACCCTGGATGCACTTCTGAATCTGCTGGAAAGTTTCACAGATACCTATGTTGGCACCTTATCCTCCTCAGATGGAGACTGAAATTTCCCAGGATGGAATTTAAAAAAATCTCTCCAGATGAACTTAATATGCATTCATTGGAGGCTTGAGAATTCATCCCATTGGGGTGGGTAGATGCCATGGTAGAGGGGTGATAGAACAATGTATAAGGTGAGAGCCCTGTGTCTTTAAAATAACTGCAAAGAAAAATTAAGCAAAATTGATCTTTACCATTGTATTGCTGACCCATGAGATTTTGGGGGGAAGAACCTACAAATGTATAGTTAAATGAAAAAAATAAGCAAAACAGATGCAAATGACTGCTTCCAAATTTTCCAAATTAAATTTTGGAATTTTCTTTTCAATCATACATAGTTCTGGGATGGGGAAGGATTTCATGGCCAAATGTTTTCTTTCTTTCTTCTTCTTCTTCTTCTTCTTCTTCTTCTTCTTCTTCTTCTTCTTCTTCTTCTTTTTTGGTGACAGAAGGGATCTTACTCATAGATAAGAGTCTTTCTCTGCTCTGTTTCAATGATAAATAATTCAATAATTATTAAAATGTCCAGTGGCTCCCAGAGGACACTTGTTATAATAGGCAATTCATGTATGACAACATTAATATGTACATGGATACATAGCAACAGAAGACATGCCTCTAGATGTACCCAGGAATCATGTGTTATGAATGTCCTCTGAGAATTCGCTTCAGTGCAACGTTCTCCTTTAATGACATGGAGTGCCTTATTAAGGCTGCTTGAATATGGTCTTGCTAGGGGGAATGTAAACAAGCAAAATTGTTCTCCATTTTGGGGCCTGGGGAAAAGGGATTGTTTCACATTTATTGTTTTCTGTGTCATTATCAAGAATTTGACCCATTTGGCTTTCCTTTGAATTATTTTCATTCCAGGCCTTGAAATAGTATAATAGTTTCACACTCTTTCTGATGCTCTATTTCTTCCTTTCTGGAAGAAAACTGAAGTGAAGCAAGGTGAATCTCAGCTTCACCTGCTCAGTGGGCTTCCACTCACCTGCCTTACCTGTCACCAAGGAGCCCAGGGAATGTATCCCTGCCATTCATGAGAAACTAGTGAAAGCAGAATCCTTCCGATTTCATAAATACCCAGGTTCTGTCCCAAACCATAGGGCTTCAGCTTGCTTTGAGTCTGGTCATCTCAGGGACTTTACTGGTAGGCAGGGCTCATGCTAGAAACTCTATGGTAAAATGACAGGGTAAGGGAGTGAGCTCATATCTCTCAATGTCTGGAAAAGTAAGGGAAGTGGGTGCCTTGAATTTGTGAGGAGGAAAATATTGTAAGTCTACGTAAACATAGAATTAAAAGAAAACCTGAGGTTCCTTGGAAATATTGGGCATTTAAATATAAACCGATTCCTCTGTAGTCTTTGGATAGTTCTTATGTGATCCTGGCTTTTTCTTTTCTTTCTTTTTTAATGAGAAACAGCTTTACTGGACTTAATGAGGGATTAAGTGACTCTACTTCAGTACTAATGTGAACCAGGACCCTACATGGTTTCCCAAAGGAAAAAGAACCTGGTTCTGGCACCTTCTAGCTTTTGGGACCTGCTGACTCTCGGCTTCCTCATCAGTAGAACTGATCTAGTGAGTCTCTCCTTGGGGATATCTCTGGGGAATCACAGGGACATCTGGGCATGCATGAGCTTGGACACAGGAGCTCAAGTTTCCTCTTTGCCTTCTCTTCCCTGTACCTCATGCAGATGTAGCTGGTCCTTCCTGGTCCAGGGACATTGGAACAGTGACATTCTTCAGGATGCTTTTCCTGCCTGTCCCACAAGGTCCCCTCAGCTGTGCCAGATGCTCAGGATTTTAACCAAGTTCTTCAAACAATTCTCAGCCACATTTAAGTTGAGACACAAAGGTTTTTTGTTTATTTCACACTCAGCACCACCCTCCCATTCATTTGTCATAACTTTCATGGGATACAATGTAGAAAATTACAAGATTTATCTTGCATCTTTAACAAGTTTACCCTCACTCTTCGAAGCAAAGACTTTCTTCTTGTCAGTCAAAAAAGCCACTAAAACTTGTTCAGACCCATCGAGAGCCATGGTCTGCCATCAGCTAACATCCATCCAGTCCTTTGGCAGGAAAAGGAAGAAATAAAATTTCCTTCTTGTATATTAACATTGATTATTGTCCATTAAAAACAAATATTCCTCATACCCAAACAAGACCTCACAAAAATCTAAGAACTTAAAAGAGGACAGTAGATTGGATCAAAATCTAATTTTTAACATTTATGAGGTTAAAACCTCAAGTTCATCCTGTAGGTTTGGCAGCTGTCTTATTGATGTACAAAAAAAGAAATTATCATAATGCTTTTGCCACCAAGGTTCTCACCTGGCATAAGCAATAAGCGAAGCTGAATCACTTACCTAGCCAATCTGATTTGGCTTCAGGGTGTAATGAACAATTATTACCAAGGATCAGGGTAACCTATTAGCTTGTAAGGAAGCCTCTGCTTGAATTTGAATCAATCTTTTGCCAAAGCTTATTGCTTTATGAAGTCTTCAAAATGAATTCCTAGAATCTGTGTGGGCATTTTTCCTTTTACAACTTATGCCTCCACATGACAAGATTTGAAGGAAAATCATTGGATTATTCCTGAATGGGTCTATTCTTCTTTAACAAAGAATCACTTCACTGTAGTCAGCAGCCTTGGTCAGAGTAGATCTTGATGCCTATGGGGTGGCAATAATTGCAAAAATTTGCTAAACATCCTTCCCACACACAATTCAGTCAAAAACTTTAACAATGAAAACAAATCTAGTGGCCATATATTGAAAATCCTTGTCCCCTTCCCCACCACCACCCCCTAAAGTGCTTTCAATTGGGGGATTTGTTTTTCCTTATTTATTTCATTTGATGCTTTCTGCTGCATTTGTTCCTCAAACCACCACCTTCTGTATTAGGATAACTTTTCTAAGATTCTAGTATCATCAAAGGGAGCAAAGTTCTCAGGTCCTGGTCATTTAATTCACAGTTACACTTTTTTTTTTTAAGCAAGCCTCAAAATATTAAAGCAAGGGCTAGGTAGTACCTGTTTATTCAACTGAAATCTCTAGAGACACAAAATTAGATGCTTCCATAACTGGTTTAAACTTTTCAAAGTCAGAAGTTAGTTTTACCTTGTGTGTTGTATGCCTTGTACAAACCAGTTCTGTAATACTTAGCACGATTACAATGCATACCCCATTCTCAGCTGCCCTATGCCTTGCAAACCCGATATTCTAATCCTGAAAAGGCCTGGCAAAATGTTGAGCAGGAACTATTGATGGATTGAGTCTTAGGCATCTCAGACCTGATGAAATGTGGCCACATACACTGCTGTGTGTCCAAGCCCTGGCTATCTGTGCATGGTCTGGTGGCCTCATGAGCATTCTCTCTTGGTGTTGATGTTCTTCTTCCTACTGATCCAGTCCCACCCATCAGTATATCATCATGAATTCATTTAACCCTCTGCATGTATAAATTCCTCATTCTGATTGCTCTTTGAGTTTTACCAATCCTATTGATCTTAGATTATCTTTCTTCCTATAAATTAGGAAGGAAGGAAAATAATTGATTGGGAGGGCTGTACAATGGGTCCACAGCTTATGTTATCCATGACACAAAAGAAAACAATAAAAGAATAAGGCCTATCCTTACTAGAGCAGGAATGAGCATTAGTACAACTAACCATTATGAGCTCTGTGGCTTTAAGCTAGTTACTTATCAGGTCTTATAATGGTTTTCACATATACTAGAGGTACACTTTTTTTTTAACAGAAGGAAAATATAATTCTTATTTCTGTTTATTATCTTTGCATATTGCATACAAATGTATCCATCAATTCACTAAATATTAAGTAATTGCATAACTGGTATTCTAAATGCCTTACAGTATGTGAAAATATTTGGTGGATTATTATACAGGATTATTATACATTATTTTTCCATCTAAAATAATGGAATAGGGTTTTCACTGTCAAAGAAATCATTAKCCTAAACATTTTCCAGAACCAATTAGATTATACTCTGAGGAGTGCCTGGATATTAAGGTGCTCAGCACAGTTCTGGGCACCAAACTGCTAATAATTGGGAGCTAATACTACCTTAGTTTGGTTTCAGGAGGGGGTTGTTTGGAACCAAGAATGACTTTATTGCACTTTTATTTCAACTTATTCACTTGTTGTTGGTGTTAATCCTGCAAACGGCTAAACTTGTAAAAGTAAAATTCACTCTCATTGCAAATACTGTTTCTCCTCTCTTTGCTGAGTTCTCAAGCCCTTGCAGTTGAGATGGGAGTGAGACTGGAGTTCCTTGGCTTGTGGAAGAACATCATTATCCTTTGCTTTGGAAATTTGTTCCTCTGGATCAGGGTGGTATGTACCAGAGGGCACCTTCTGACCTACTGGGTAGCACAGAAGGCAGAGAATTAGAACCTTTAAGTGGGGACAACTCACTCTGAGATACTGACAGGCATTCATTTCATTACTTCACTCTGAGGTTGTTGTGGCTAGGTAATGGAGCTGCTTCTCAGATTCTGTGAGAATCTCAGGAGCCTCCCAGTTGTCTCTGACAAAAGGTAGCTGCTCTCTTGCTAAGAAAGCTGCCTATCCACAATTCCCATGTCCATCTTTTTCTTACTGCCCTATGATGTTATCCCTAACCCCTCAGACCATGTGAATTTTTCAGATTAGAGGAGCCACATCTGCCTGTGGTTTGTGATAGGGGACAAAAGACTTTTCCTCTACCCACTTAGATTCTGTGACTGAGGCCTGTGAGCTGAACTGACTAAAGCATAACASAAGAAAAGGCATACAGGTTTAGTTTGATGTTAATATTTTTATGTAGCTTGGAAAACCTCAGAGGAAGAAGTGCAAGCCCAGAAGAAGTGGCTGGACCCAGGGACTTGTATACCATTTTAACAAAGAGCAATAAATTGTGGAGATGTGACAAGAGGAGGGAAAATGGGTGGTAAACTGTGGGGAAATGAATGGAAAATAGATGATGGATACTAATTTCCTTCATTAGTAAGGTTCTTGTAGTCAAGTTTGTATAGAAGAATATCTGCATCAACTCTGTCTCCAGTGATAAGAATGTTTTCATATTCTTGGTACATGGAGGAAACATTTCTCATGGGAAATTATAATGGCGTTTAGAGACAAAGCGGGAGGGCAGAGAGACCTTCTTCATCTACTGATTTTCAATTGCCTTTAGCTCAACGGTGTCAGTGTGTCAAAGTGATATGTTTTGGGGTTGGTATGTGTTCTGATTCTCTTCAGTGGAAACATTTTTAGCAATTATCTTTGGTAAGATTGATGAGGGGTATATGGCACTCCATCACTGAATTTTTATACCTAAGTAAACAACTGCACAAAATTGACAAAAACCTAGCCTTCACGATCCACTTGTTTTCATGGGGGATAAAGAAAATAAACAAGAAAAAAACCCCAGTAATTTTATAATACTAGTGCTATGAAGCAAATAAAATAATGATATGTTCCAGAGGTGGCTATCTAACACAGTGGCTATAGCCACTTGTAGATATTGAGCACTTAATATGTGCTTCATCAAAATTAATAMTTTTTAAAAATCTTTGATTACATGCTGAAATGATCATTATTAGGGATATGTGAATTTCTATAAAATATTATTAAAATTAATTTGGCCTGTTTCTTTTTTTTAAAAAATGTGGCTTCTAGAAAATTCCAAACACATGTAGCTTGCATTATATTTCTATTGGATAGCATTGTGCAGAAGAACAAAGATTGGGGGCTGGCAGGTCTTTGGGAAGGCTTCCCTAAAGGGATGGCACTTTGAGCTAATGCCTGAGAAATAAGGGGAACAAGAAGACCCAAAAGATGTGGGAAAAGAGCTTTGAGGAACCGACAGAAAAATCATAGGGGCAGAATTTCAGTTATATTGTAGAGAAAGGCTAAGATGAGGTAGGGCAGGTAGGGTAGACAGGGGCTAGATCAGGAAGAAAACTGTAAGGAGTTTGGATTTTATTTGATATCTCATGGGAGATCATTTTAAAAGCCAAAGAATTGGCTAGTTTTATGTAAATCAGCAGATCTACAACTATATGACTGACAACTCTGACAGTGTGACAACTATGGTTGGAGATAGAAGGACTAGACTACTCTTAGAAAAAAGGCTTCTGAGGAGAGCATTATTGTTATATGAAAGTCCAGCCATGATGCTCCTATCTGAATCTAGTTATCAGACCTGACTCCTTTCCCCTTCTACACATAAAGTATAGGCAGTGGAGACCCCATGGCTGTCCGTGTTCTGGAGCTGTTTGTTAAAACTTTGCTTCTGTTTCTTTCTTCCCTCCCCTCCACAGTGTTTTGAACCAGATGCACTATTACTAATAGCTGGAGGAGACTTTGAAGATCAGCTTAGAGAAGAGGTGGTCCAGAGAGTTTCTCTTCTCCTCCTCTATTACATTATTCACCAGGAAGAGATCTGTTCTKCAAAGCTCAACATGAGTAATAAAGAGTATAAATTTTACCTACACAGCCTCCTGAGCCTCAGGAAGGATGAAGACTCCTATTTCCTTTCACAGAATGAGACAGAAGATATCTTGGCTTTCACCAGGCAGCACTTTGACACATCCAGAAGCCAGGTAACAGGGGCACAGTTGCTAACTAGCTCTGCTGCTAAGATGCTGTCTCAGATTCTTATTCACTTATGTATATTTAGTCAGTTAATGATTCCCAAGTCTTTCAAAAACTTCTAAGAAAGATAAGTATTTATGTGTTTTTTTTTCCTAATCCACGGTATGGTAAGTGACATAATTCAGAAATCTGAGTCTAAAAGTAGAAATGTGATGACTAATCAGAAGATGAATTTTAGCCAGAAAGCCAGCGGCTGATAGGCAGGCAGGACAGGTGACGGGCAGCTCTGTCTTCTGACTCCCCTTGAGCACTCCAGTGACTCAGGGTTTTTAATTAGTCTGCAAGGACTGAACTGTAATGGTGGAGGGTACTGTGTCTACCTACCCTGCTACTGGCCAGGGAAGAAGGCAGAAACAGTTTGAGAGAGATGAATTCATTGTTAATTATTTTCCCAAGGAAGCATCTTGCCAAAGGCATTATTCATGATGATCAGCATGAGCCCTTTTATGGTTTTTGATTACATGGTCTGCCTGTGCACAGGGTCTGTTCAGAGGCCTCTCATCTCTCCCAGCTCCCATTAGGAAATGGGCACCTGCTCATTTGCTTCCTCATTACTATTCTAGCAAAAGCTGAACTTTTAATGGTGTTTATGCTTTCTGGGTTGCAGTGGAAAGTTTCAGAAGGTAAAGATTCTGAACATCAAGGTTTTTGAAGCCCCTTTTCCTAGCAGAATTAATTGAGGACCTGTACCACTTTGAGAAATTGTTGAAAATATTTTTTCTCTCTTGAATTATTCATTGATTATGTGTAGACATTTTGGTTCTCCATATCAATGATTACTTCCAGTAACCTAAAGGTATCTGAATAGTCATGCTTTGACTTAATGGCCAGCAGACATATCGTCCAGTTTGCTGTAAATCTGTTTAGTTTCTCTTGTCATTAGTGGAACTAATAGAAAGGCTGTTTACAGGGCACTTTGCCAACATCATGAAGTAGCTCTAATCATGTAAATATCAAAATTGGACCATAATCTTGTTTCTAGTTTCATTTTAGGAAAAATTTCCTTGAGAGAAATCAATTTTCTGTTTAATAAGGATGTGTTCCTGGATATGATGGCTTCATTGTAACATCTATACAACACAAGATGCGTTTGAATTAGCCACTAGGAATTTAGTCATCCTCCCCATTACTGTCTTGTGATGCAAATTAAACGGAAACCCAGTGCTTAAAACCAGATGGTGTGTATGTGTCTAGGTTTATGGTTATTACACACGTACTGCCAATACCTGGGTTTCTGAGTGTTTGTGAGATCAGACATTCTCAGAATAGGGTAAAATAATGTTACATGGACAACTTTTATTCAACAGGAATTGAGCTCCTGCTCTCATAGCCTTTGCTAGGTCTTAGACTAGTGATCTCCTAGAGATAGCACTGTTCCTAGTTCTTGGAACTAGGCACACCCAGGACTCCCTAGGAAATCAGTTGATATAGACTTTTGCAGAAGGCTGTTGACACCTCACTGTAGCTGCTGCTCTTTTTGACCAGATGATGTGAGGTCATGGTAGGGGGTGCTGGAACAGGAGACCCTCCACTAGCAACCCCAGGTCTTGATCTGCACAGGGCTTGGCTTCTACGAATCAAACCAGTAACAGCTATTTCAGGTGAACCTCACTCATTCCCCAAAAGAAACACCTCTACTCCATAGGGTCCTACTGCGGCCAACTCCCCTAAAGAACAAAACACAGACATCATTCCATCTCTTCATTCCAAACAACTTTGTCTCCCATCTTCCTAACTCAATCCCTTAGTGTTCCACCTCTTCTTTTACTGTTTGTGATTTCTTGGTAGAGGAATAGGGATGTGCACAGAGCTCTCTGCCAGCCCTGCCCCTTGCATAGAGAATGCGCATTCTTGGCTACACCCTAAACACTTCAAGGATGAAATCAATGGCACCTTGTAAGGGTTACTATTTTACAACCTCTATGAAAAATTCATACTTCTGTGAGGTTCATGTTATCTAGTATTTAACTTATTTTCATGCAAAAGAACTTCTTGCTATGTCTCCAAATCTAACAAGATTTTGATAACTGACTCTCAGCCTTCCATTCTGCTGTCTACCACAGCAATGAATATGCTCCCTGCCAAGTTCACCAATTACAGACTTAGAAAGGAATAAATCTAATGTGTACATTTTATTCCTTGTCCCAGGTCACGAAAATTGAACATTGACACAATAACCTTCTTTTCATTTCTCTGATGATGAGCACATTCTCTTCTTCATCTGGAGTGGGCCTAAGCATGGTGCCAGGCACACAGTAGGCATAAAATCAATGTTTAAACCAACGAATGGGAATACTAGTAGAATATAAGGCAAAATTCTAGCCTTTTAGATATTTATAATTTAGTTGAGCAAAATTAACATATAAATATGAAAAAAGGCTCCGTGTCATTTGTCCTATGTCTTTAAGAGTTCAAAGAACATAGACCCTGTGCTGACTTTTGATTTGTAATAAGTTCACACTGAACTTGAGACTAAGGGCTGATGTGGAAGTAAGTAAGTGCCCTGTGATGGTTAAGGCAGCAGGGCTGGTGTGAAGTCAAGGTAGGGAATATAGACTTGAAAGTCATTGGCCTGCAGGCTGTGTTGGAAGGTGGGAGAGATTTCACCAATTRAGAGGATGCTATAAGAGCAGGGGATCATCTTGGGAAAAGCACATCCATGAGATGATAATAAGAAAGGCTGGATAACTGAGGACTGGTGGAAGGGGCCTTAGAACACTCAGTATCATGGCAGATAAAAGAAGTCAGTATTGGGCTAGCGATACAGCTCAGTTGGTAGAGTGCTTTGCCTTGCATGCACAAGCCCTGGGTTCAATCCTCAGCACCAAAAAAAAAAAAAGTGGAAGAAGGGGGTATTTCCAAATACAGTTGCATCTGAGACAACTTTGTGAGATGACAGTCATTCCCGTACACAAGTACACAATTCAATCTTCTTTCCGATGGACTATTCCTTGTCCTTGGGGGGGAAATCCTAGAGATAATTTTAAAGTATTCGAAATAATTTTAGAAGTTAAAAGTTTTTTCTTTGTATGTGATTTCAGTGTATGGGAACTAAAATGCTACAGAAAAAATCTGGAATCCAGAACAGTGACGGTGCGGATGAACATACACTTCCCAGATTGGCAGCGACAATCATTGCTTTGTCCCTCCAGGGTGTTTGTCTGGGACGAAGAAACTTGCCAGCCCCAGACTATTTTACAGAATATATTTTCAGTTTCTTGAATAGCACGAATACTCTCCACTTATCAGGTAAGGAGGGTCTTCATGAATTTAACTTCCAAGTCACAGCTTCCAAAACGATTGTGCCAAAAACAAAGGCTGAAGCATTTCAATGACTGAATTTGTTCGGTTGTATTTTAAGTACCATTTTATGTCGGCATGTAGTAAGAGGGGCTCAGGTGGCTTTTCAAGGCAAATGTGTTATGATGTCTGTGTGGTGATGAGGTGTAAAGACAGATTTGGCCCCTTTCTGTGTTGATGAAAATTGTGATATCAAGCCAAAGGGAAGATTTTTAGGTCTGCCATAGACCTAAATATACCCTTTCCTAATTGGCACATAATACTGGGGCTGGTAGCTCAGTGGTAGAGCACTTGCCTAGCATGTGTGAGGCACTAGGTTCAATTCTCAGCACCGCATATAAATAAATAAATGTCCATCAACAACTAAGAAGTAATTAAATAAATAAACTGGGACAGAGGTGGCAGAGTGTTCTGTAGAATCATGAAAGGCTAATTCACTAATTCAGGGTTCAAGATGGTCAACAACCAGTTTGCTTATCATCATATATGTGAACCATTTAATTTTAAATTAAAATAATGTAAATTTTCTGTCTTTGCTGAATTCCTTTTTGGGGCTCTTAGATGAAATGGGGTGTCATGAAGGAAATCAGAATTTTTTTGCACATTTCTTTGTACTAGGTAAGACAGATGACAGATGACTCAAAAGTGGTATGACTTATTTTTCAAATCTGCATTAAGATGGATAGAGAGAGATTTTTAAAAAGCATCTCATTGCCTAGTACAGCTAGCCTTCTCCATAGTTCTTTCCAAGATTTTCCTAGTTTGCTTGTTCATTCTAATGAATACCATCAAATTGTCAAGCTCCAAGAAAAAACTTAAGGTAATTTTATTATGATAGAAAAAAATATGTATATATAGAAAATATATATATAAATACATTGCATATACATATATAATTATATGTAATATGTATATAAAATTACTTAAAGAGAATTGGTATTTATAAGGTCTTGCACCTTTATATCCAAGAACAAAAAATGTTTTTCCATTTATTCATGTCTACATGTATATTTTTATGGAACTTTTAAAAATTTTCCTCACACAGGTTTTAGGAGTTTCTTGTTATTTTATATATAGGCATCTAACTTTCTTTTTGGATCCCATTAGTGAGGTTTTCTTTAATTATATCCTCTAGTTTATCTTTAGATATATGAAAGCCATGATTTTTTTAGATTATTTTTGTAACCTACTCTGATTATTTTCTTTTTACATCAATTTTTAGGAGTTTCGGCTATATAATTATATCATCTTCAGAAAGATATAATTTTTTCTCTTTCTAAGTCTTGTATTTCTATTTGTTTCTTGTGGAATTGCACTGGTTAATAATTCCAATATAATACAATAAGAGTGGGAGTGATTAGTATTCTTATTATATTGCTGATTTTAAAAGAAAAGCCTATAGTATTTCCTGATTAAATTTAGATATCCTACTGTTATGTATAACTAATTAGAACAAATTAAAAGTATTTAGAGAACAAATGAGCAAAATATTTTAATTAACTTGCATTCTTATGTTTCTAGTACTCTTCATTTTTCCAGTAGACTTGAACAAAATGAAAAATTTAAACAAAAGGTACATTTGGGTCATTTCTTTTAAGCCTAACGGACTTAATTTTATATTTCTTATAAGGCATATCTGCTAGCAATGAATTCTCTCATTCATTGTTTACCTGGAATTTTTTTTTCACCTTTATTTTGAAGGATTATTTTGCTGGCTATTAGGTTCTTAAATGACAATTTTTTTCTTTTTGCTCTCTGATTATACCATCCCACTACTTTCAGGTCTCTATTGTTCTGATGGAAAGTCAGTGGTTAACTATAGTGATGCTCCCTCACATGTGATGAGTCCTTTTTCACTTTTTGCTTTCAAGAATTTATCTTTGTCTTTTGACATGCAACCACTTAATTATAATGCGTTTGGGTGTGGATCTTTTTGTGTTTATCCTCCTTGGTGTTTGATGAGCTTTTTAAACACGTTAGATTTTGGAAAGTTTGGGGGTATTATTTTGTTCAATAGATTATTTTTCGGATTTTTTTTCTCTTTGTCCTCTCTTTCAGTGACTGCCAATACATAGGTTTGATATGCTTCTTGTTCCATAACTCTCTGAGACTTCTTGTTCTTCCTCTGTTTTTACTTTCTATTCTTCAAAATGGGTTGTTTCTGTTAATTTATCTTTTTGTTTAGTGGTTCTTAATGGATTCAATTTTTAATTGGTACATTTCAGTTATGTGTAAAAGTGGAATTCATTGTGATAGGTGTATACATGTGCATACATAATTTGGTTAATTTCATTCTGCTGTTCCTCCTTTCACTAGCCTTCTTCTCCCTAATTCCCCTTCCTTTACTCCACTGATTCCCATTATATTATCATAAGACCCTTCCCCTTTTAAAAAATTCATTATTTCTCTCTGACTTCCATAGGTAAGAGAAAAATCCATACACGATTTTCAGTGTCTAGCTTATTTCACTGTTTGGTGATTCCCCCCCCACCCCCCCACTGCCTTCTCAAATATGTTATTGAGTGCCTTTAGTGAATTTTTTGTTATTATGTCTTCCTTCTCCAGAATTTCTTTTATTTAATTTTTATTTCCTTATTGAAAATTACTATTAGGTGATTTGTTGTTTCATACTTTCCTTTTTTTTCTTTAAGTATGTTTTCCTTTAGTTCCTTAAACATGCTTACACTAGCTGCTTTGAAGAATTTGTTAGAACCAACATCTGGGATTACTCAGGGATGTATTTGTTGACTACTCATTTTCCTGAACATGGGTCACATTTTCCCTTTTCTCTGCAAGTCTCATGATTTTTTTAATTTAAAACTAATCATTTAAAATAAAATTCTAGTTTGTAGTTTTTCTATCATTGATAACATTTAGGAGAATTCCAAAGACATTTTAGTAACAAGTAAAAGGATGAATAAATCCATATGAATTTATAATTTCATTTAATTTTCCTCTGTATTTTTTGAAGCCTAGAGTAATATTGAGGGAAACAAAATTGCAATCTATAAACTTATATTCATTCCATAATATCACTGGAAAACAAGATCTAGTTTGTCTCTGTAATCACATCTCCCTTTCATTTATTTTTTCTTTTCTTCATATCCACAGAGGAAGACACTTTGATTGACTTAGCTACATTAAAGTAGTAATCAATCTACTAATGATGTGGATTGACTCAAGGAAATACATTTCCTAAAATCTAGGCTAGTATCTTCTTTAATTTATACATTTGTATTAAAGGAAAATATTTTACTTAATGGAAGACATTTTCATTGGTTGTGTTGCCCATTTATCATCTCTAGTGTATTTAAATGGTGGGAATACCTTTAAAAGATTGGTTCAGCCTTAGGTAGATCCTGTGAGAGAATCCATATTCATGTGAGGTATAAATGTTATGTCTTTGTTCAGAATGAAACCTTGATTTTTCAACAGAACAAAAATTTATCTTGTAAAATGTCTATGCTATAGCCATGTGAAATTATAATTATTCTGAACAAGATCTGCCTATTCTATGTCACACCCAATTTTGTATGAAATTTCTAGAACTAGACCAACTTCTCAATACTCTCTGGACCAAAACCACCTGTATCAAAAAGGATAAAATCCATCAACTTCAAAGGAAACAAAACAACATAACAATCCATGATTGGGGCTACTCTAATCTATCTGTGTCTGTGGACAAAGGTTCAGATGATGGCCCAGTTTCCTGGGATCAGGTATTTCCATTATTTCTCTCATATAATCATTTGCTATTAATAAAGAAATTCAGCAGTGAGAGTTCTATCAGAGTTGTAGAAAATTCAAGAAGAGAATGTATATTTTCTTAAAAGTAAAAATGATTTATTTCTATAGCATGGTCTTACTTCTTTTTCTATAAGCAAGTTCCTGTAGAAATAAAAACAAGGGGGTTGGGGATGTGGCTCAACTGGTAATACGCTCTCCTGGCATGTGTGGGGCGCTGGGTTCGATCCTCAGCACCATATAAAATAAAAATAAAGATGTTGTATCCACCGAAAAGCCAAGATATTTAGGAGAATGAAATATATTACTCTTTTCTTCTTTGGGTCACTATCAAATCCATATAAAATTAGTTCAGAAAATATATAGTGAACATTTAGTATGTACCAATCACCATCCTAGGCATAATGAAACCAGTGCTGAATAAATATAGGCATAGCATTTAAGGACAATACAAGGCAGAGGAGGATATATACATTGCATAAATAACTACAATAATGCATAAAAAATTTAAGTTAGATTAGGAAGCAATTGCTTTAGATTGTGAGCAACATGACATTATTTGTATAGTAGATGGTACTGAAGATTTTTTAAAAGGTGATAGGTGAGCCTACAAACGTATCTATATCTGTATTTCCTAAAGTTGTGTTTCAGAGAACAGTCACTGGTCTACCTTAGCTTCTCTTTAGGTGCTATGGTCAAACAAGTTGGGAAAATATACTGGAAATACACATTTAACCGTGGCTTGTAAAGGAGTTTGGAGAGGTTCATTTTAGACAAATTAATCTTACTGAACCCAACTTTGATCAAAGAATCTTTCTCTGCCCTAGTCATTTAAAATCTTCAGAACTTAGTGTTCTGTGATAATGGCTTGCATTTATTAAATACTTATTATGCATCAGATACTGTGTTATTTTGACCTGCATTAGTTCATTAGTTCCTAGAATAACTATGTGTTAGTTTGTATTATTGCATCCTATAAATGAGCTATGGAGCTAATAAGCATTGCTTGAGTTTATAGAAACTGAGGATATATATCTTCAGTTTTATATATATTACATATATAAATATATATATATATATGATATATACATATCATATATATATAAATAATATAGGTCACATTCTTAACAACTATGATATTATTTGGGAAATGGTCCAGGAAATTGGACCTACTATATTATTAATTGGGAAATGATTTAAATATCTTAAAAATATTTTGTTCTTTATATCTTAAATGAGCAATACTTCTATGAAATACACTCTGTATCTTAAAACAGACAAGAGTACCTACTTTATATTCCTAATAATTCTGGATTTTGTGTTCACAAGTTGTGAATGCATGATTGGGCAATATCAAATATTTTTGCTACTATGCATTTTAAAAAAGTTAATTTCTGTTACCTATGTCATGTATAAAATATATCAATCAGAATTGATTCTTTCAAACTTATGATTATTATATTCAATGGAAGGTGACAAAAATGACCTCCAGATTAATCTTTGTAAAGTATCCTTAAGTGTGTCTCCAGAGCCATATTTCAGGAAGGGAATAAATTTGATTTATGGAAACTTCATTTGCATAAGGAACAAAGGTTATTAAAATTTATGTTTTCTTATTTAAGGCATGCATTTTTAAAAACAATTACAATTTTTGTTTGTGCTAACTATGCAAAATAAATGAAATAATCTCTTCTACAATTATTCTTCTCTGTCCCAATATGTCACTTTTTTGTGACTCTTGGTGGGACCCTAACATGGAATACCAGTTCTGAGGACCCTGCTTATATTATTTAGACAACATTCTGCAAGTCTTGTCACTGGATCAGAAACATTATTATCACCAAGAAACTTGTGAGAAATGTATATTCTCAGGCCCCACCCCAGAATTTACTGAACTAGCAACCCTGAGAGTGGAGCCCAAAACTCTATCTTATAATAAGCCCTCCAAGTGATTATCAAAAGGGAAAATTAGACACCATTATTTTAGAAGACATTTGAAAACTTTCATAGAAACTTGATGACATCAACACAAGAGTCAGCACATATTGAAGTTTTATGCAAAGGAATAAAGGTGTTTTAAAGATTACTGACCAGACATTCTAAATTTTCATTCTATTCTTTAACATTTTATGGAATGTAATGAGTCACCACTAAGACATTCATATTAGCAATTTCAGAAGAAATTTAAAACAATAATGACTTACAGAGCAATAGCAAGTAAAGATCAAGGGCACAGAAGCTTATAATAGAATAACTGTTCTGTCTGAGAAGGTATTCTAAAACTAGAAACTATTCAATTTCTTGACAATGAACTGGGAAAAGATGCATGATATTCTGTTCCTGTTTACCTCTATGCTCTTACTTACCAGCTAGACATTTTCCCATAAGATATTTATGATGGAGATTTCATCATCAAAAGTGTGTTACTAATTTCCCTTTCTTTTGGCAGTATTTTAAATGAGATAAACATATTCCATCTGTAACAAATGGTTCAAAAAAGAATATTGTCTTTGGTACACATTATCTTATTTAAGGGAGGAATACCACATATTTAACTTTCAGGTGATACTTTCAGGTGAGTAGGAACCTTTTTGGAATTCTTGCACAATTCCTTTGTAACAAATGCCTTCCTCACTCCTACCACATGGGTAGAACTGACCTACCAGACAGATAACTGACCCAAGAGAGCCCCCAGATGACTTTCTTGAACTAATCAGTTCTTTGTCAGGTTTTGCAGACTCAATCCATTCTTGGATTCCTGACTGAATGTCACTTTAGAATGGGAATTTACATAGCCTCATGATTATCAAATGAGAGGACAAAGTGTAGAAGGAAATAGATACCCATAGAAGGAAACAGAGAGGAAAAATGCTTCGTGTACATGTGTGTACACACATACACATCTTTGGTTCCGATTTCCAGTTGGGGCTGCAGCTCCTTATGAGGTGTGGCCTTCAGTGCCTGGATTCTCTGAGATCCTTTGTGTCCTTCTACTGTGGTCTCCTCCTGATTTTCTGGTTTGTGTGGTTTGTGTTCCGTGCAAACAAAAGCTTCCTAATCAAGAAAAAAATTTTCTTATCTATGGAACCATCACCAGATGATTTTTTTTGTGTCTGTATTGTTGAAAAAGAATGTATCATTATTTTTTAATTAAAAACTTGTCTCTGTTTAAAATATTAAAAATACTACAGCACAGCAAATCAGATTAGCCTCGTAAAGCACTGACTTTTCTAAAAACACTTTAGTCACTGCAACTAAAGATCACAAATATATTGCATTGGGGTCTTCTTTCAATAAAAGTCATTCATTTGTGCTTGTGAAAATATGTGCCAATTGCATTCCCATATTAAAACATTTACATTGTAATCTTTGATGTATACAAACATCAGCTTTTATTTCGGAGATGAAAAAAAATGCCTTTTGGCAATTTTTAAGAGACTTGTTGCCTTTGTTGTTTATTTATAAGTTTTACTTAATTAATATGCCTATATCATATGGAAAATTATAAACATTAAGATAAAAAAATAAAACAATAGAAAACAACAATTCCTGCTGTTCTGTGGAACGGTGATGTCAAGTAACACAGGTAGTCGTATCATTGAGTGTTTGTGTACCAGCTAGTTGACACAGAATTCACTTTTAAAATTTTTAACCTTACTTTTATCACTTTTGGAAATACAGGTTGCCAAAACAGGCTTATTAAATCAGGGAGTTATTAAAGATAACGACCTCATTACCACCAAGTTCCTGTTTATCCCGTGAAGTCTTAGCTACGTTGAAAACCAACAAAACACAGGCATCAAGCCTTATTTTGACTGCTGGTTCCATCACCATGCARCACATTATAAAAACAGTGAGTCTTTTCAGGAAAGAAAAAAGTGTGCAGGAAATATTAAATAAGATTCAGAATGAAAGCAAGGTGCTACAGACTTTGATCTCAGATTTAAAAATAATCCTGGGAGGTTCACAAAAAGTTAATGAACAAAGAGCAGCAGGAAAATGTATAGGAATGGCTTCCTCTGCCCATTGTCGACATTCTGTCTAGTTTGGTTCCTCGAGGATGGCAATTGGTGGCACAACTGGTTCAAAACTGAGGTTAGTAACAGCATGTTTTCCCCATACAGAGTTGCTTCTCTGCTCAGCAGCTGGTGGAGATATTTCTACAGAATAGATTTTCATCCATTTCTAAGGAGGACTTTAAGCAGCTGAGTCCAGGGATCATCCAACAGCTACTCAGCTGCTCTTGCCACCTGCCCACCGACCAGCCAGCAAAACTTCTACCCACCACGCTGGAGAGTAAGTTCTGGTTCTTCATTAGGAAGCTGATCAGCCCAAAGTATGTAATAATAATCATGAGCACAGAGTATTTATGATGTACTAGGTGCTATTCTGAACATCCCATATTTACCAACTCATTTAATCCTCCAATAATGTGAGGAGAATAGGGGCTATTAGTATACTCAAAAACTGAGGCACTGAGATGTTCTGTGACATACTCAAGGACACACAGATGGTAAATGATGAAGTTGGCATTTAAACTTAGGAAAACTGGCCCCAGTGTCCATGTGTATAGCAATACTGCTTTCCAATAAATATTTCATATTCAGTACACAATTTATGTAAACTGATTTTGTCCTCCATATTTGACTCAAATCATAGATCAACTGAAAAACCCACAGTTGATAAGTGACACGATCTAAGAGAAAACACATTAGTATTGGAATCTGAAGCRCAGAATTGAGTCATCTCTTTTCATCCCCAGCCACTCCATGACCTTAAGCTTATTTCTCCTTCCACAAAGTTGTCTCTTTTCTGCACAGTGAGATACTATGGTGGTTCCCAGCCTTTCACACATCATGGAACATGTACAAAATGAAGGCACACAAAGGTAAACCAAAGATGTGCTTGGATGGAGGTGAGCAATCCAGTGGGATACCAGCCTCCCAGTTATAGTTGACAACCATAAGAAGTGAAGGCATGGACACTTACGCTCACAGGAAGTGAAGCCATGGACACTGACAGGAAGTGAAAGTATGGATACTTGCACTCACAGGAAGTGACAGAATCAACACTTGTACTAGCCTGAGTCCTGTTGAGTCACTATACTAGACAAGCTCTCTCACAGACTTCACAGGGTATCCATGAGGTTCTGAGGTGTTCATGAGTACAAAAATGTGTTCAGTGAACCTAAATCACGGTACATGTAAGACCCTCCTCCAATGGTGGCTTAAGAATATCCATGACATATAGTAGAGATGTGACAGTTAACATATGCAACTCTAAAGTATTGCCATTCATTTGAGGACCTTATATGTATTTTTTTTTTCAGAACCGCATTCTTTTTCTTTGACCTAGCCTGCAATGCCCATCATAGCTAAATTGTTTAGCAACTCACCTCTGAGCCACAGTGCATTCTATGGCAGCAAGTGGCTCATTTGAAGACTTTATGGGAACAAAAGCCTGCCAGGCCTAAAGACCAGAGCCTCCATGTTCACTGGGAAGGGAAAAAATGTGTTCTTAAAAGTGAGCAGCTAAATAATTTAGTATCTGGTGGGCAGTGATGGTCACAGTGGTTGAGGACAGGACTGTGGTACCTATGAGCTTGTTTATATTCCCGCCACTCAGCAGAGTACCTGGTACATTCAAAACTTGGGAAAGGGTTTTCAAACTCAAGATCTACAATGAAAGGTTTATTCCCCTTTCTGATAAACTTCTAGACTCTTCTAAGGAATAGTCTTCCTGAGAAAAATCTCCACAAATAACACACACCAAAGAGCCTAGAAAAAAAAAAAAACATCACTGTCCTCAATTTAAAAATTTTCATTATGTGATTAAAGGAAAAGACTTGTGTTGGACTTTGGAAATTATAGAATATAAGATGTTGCATTAAAGACGGGAGGACCCAGGGATACATTATTAAGGAAATATTGTTTGCTAGGCTGTAACTAAACCCCTAAGTGCCACCTTTCATTGTTTCTGGGAAAGTGGATTATACCCATGTTTAAATCAAATTACAGACCTAGCTGCTCAGGAATGGCTAAGAATTTAATAGAGAGGTCAAGGTCTATTGTAATGATGGAAAATGCTTACAACATTCTGCAAGTCATCTGACTCCAATCAAGACACCATGGCACCTCTATAGAGACCTGGGGTAAATTATCAGAGTCCTTTGAACATAAATTCTGAGATTTTTATGGTTTTCAGGTTTCCCTTCCCAAAGGAGAGCAGGCAAAATCTGACTCACAGAGGATCTGAAAATATTTTGTAATGTATGTTATGAAACATCCATTCTCTTCCTCATCACATCTACCCACAGGACAAAGAAGAGTATAACAGGAAAACAGAGAATTTGGAAGTTTTCCCTTTGCCTATGAAATGTCATACCCTCACTTGTCCTTGGGAGTTCTTGACATTTTATGATCTTATATAGCTACTATAAAAATGTGACAGCCTTGAATTTTATTGGAAATTTAGGTACCCAAATTAAAATTAAAATAGTTTTATGTAGAGATGGTAACAATGAAATTCCCATATAGAATCTATCTGGGGAGAAATGAGAGATGAAACTTTGTTGGAAATCTTTAGCCATGTTATAACATAGGTATTCCTACTAAATTAGAATGAAATAAGACCTCTATGACCATTCCAACCACTTCAATTTTTTAAAGAAGTTTTTTCTTTTTCCAGTGCTGGGTATAGAACATAGGGTCTCACACATGCCAGGCATTTACTTTACCACTAAGCCACATTCTCCAGCCTTTTTTGAATTTTAAAAAATTTAATTGTGGTAAAATTTACACAAAATAAAATCTACCATCTCAACCTTTTTTTTTTTTTTTGGTTCTTGGGATTGAACCTAAGATCTCATGCATGCTAATTATTTGTTTTGCCATTGAGCTACATCCACAACCCCCTTAATCATTTTTCATTGTACAGTTCAAAAATGTCAAATATATTCACATTTGTGTACAACAGCTCTCTAGTACATTTTTTCATGTTGCAAAATAGAAACTTTACAACTATTGAATAATAAGTTTCTATCTCCCCTAATCATCTTATGAAATGTCCATTATCAATGAAGGCAATGGATGTGGGGGAATCAATGTCTGAAATTTTTGTCCTTCATCTGAGTTCTCTTTGAATTTCATTTCAATATTAGACCCCTTAACAATTCAGAAGGTAGAATCAACAAAGGTCCTTCTAAAATCCCAAGCCCATTTCCATGTCACCAGTTGTACCATTAATAACGTGAAAGGTGAACTTTCCAGAAAAACATAAAATTAGTTAAAAAGTACATTTTCTATTATAACATTCTTTTTTGTTGTTCTTTTAAAACTATTTTTTAGTTGTTGATGGGTCTTTATTTTATTTATTTGTATGTGGTGCTAAGAATAGAATCCATTGCCTCACACATGCTAGGCAAGTGCTCTTCCACTGAGCTATACTCCAGCCCCTCTATTATAACAATTTTTGAAAGCACATTTTCTTTAAAAGTGCATAGCACTTTAAGTATTAGGATAGCTGAATTGTTTGATTTCAGCCAAGTGAAAATGATTCCATGAATCACTCTTTATCTCCAAGTCATTTATTTGTTTCTGAAAGACACTTCTCTCTTAATGTTTGTTCTTCCATCTCCTCCTTTATTTCTTCACRTATATTTGTTTTTGTTTGAATAATCTTATAAATTTTACTTTTTTGCTTTTCTGAATACTAAAAAAAAAATACCTGGAAACCTGGAGCCATGGTATAAATTTTAGGGGTTATAAAATTATTGCAGTAATCAAAAAATGCAGACTGTTCAACTTTATATTATCATCCATTTTATTTTTGGCTATTTTTTACCAACAAATCACTCATTTTAGTTATTGAGAATAAGAAGTACTTTCAACATTGCATGTGGTTTTGAGAATTTTTGGGAAGAAGTTTACATAGTTATTTTGTACAGAAATGGATCTATCATGGGGCCAAACTATAGCCTCCCCTATAACATCTCTTCTTTGCCTTTTAAAGATTTAAAATCTATGAGATGGAACTCATTGCTAGTGTCTGTCAGTGGATGTTGTAGTTTTAAGAAACAGATATTAATTTCTTTGTGGTTTGGAAATAAACTCGGTTTGTGATTGTTTCTTTGATTTTTATTAAAGAGTAGTCAGAATAACTTCAAAGCAACGAGGTTAAGTGAAAGTCTTGTCTTAGTCCTTTCTATGACAATACCATAGAGTCGGGGATTTATAAATGAGAGAAAGTAAGATCTGGAGATTCAGAAATCCAAGATCAAGGTGCTGGTAGAGTGGCCTTTGGTGAGAGGTCCACTTGCTGGTGTCTTCTCACTGAGCCTCCAACTGGTGTAAGAAAGTCTGGTCTCTTTAGCGCCTTGTAAAGGCTATAATCCCATTCTCAGGGCAGAGCCCTCATGACCTAATCGCTCCCCAAAGGCTCCACCCCCTAATATGGTCTCCTTGGGGTGTTAAGTTTGAAGGGAGCGGAGCTTCAGAGTAGTCCATTGTTTTCCATAAGAATTAAAACTTTCCCCGTATTTTAGTTAGCTATTTTGCTGCTGTGACTGAAGCATCTGACCAGAACAATTTTAGGGAAGGAAAAGTTTGTTGGAGGGCTAGGGTTTCAGAGGTATTAGTCCATAGAAGGTCAGCTCCATTCCTTGGGGCTCTAAATGATTCCGGCATCATGGCRAGGGTGGTGGAGGGAAGCAGCTCACATCATGGTGATCAGCAAGCAGAGAGAGACTCTGTTCACCAGATACAAATATATACCCAAAGCCACGCCCTAATTCCCACCTCCTCCATCCACACCCTACCACTTCAGTTAYCACTCAGTTAATCCCTATCAGGGGATTAAATCACGGATTGGGTTAAGGCTCTTGTAACCCAAACATTTCTTCTCTGGACCTTCTTGCAATGTCTTGCATGTGAGCTTTTGGAGGATACCTCACATCCAAACCATAACACCCCATATGTAACTTATATCACAATCCACATCTCTATCTATTGTCATTRTAAAACAGATTATTCTGGCAGTTTGAGTAGCTGAGACATGACTGAACAACAATGAGTACTGACAGTCTTTGTGATCTCCTTTCACTTAGAATATGGCTACAGCACAGTGGCTGTGACACTTCTCACACTGGGCTCCATGCTTGGGACAGTACTGGTCCTTTTCCACAACTGTGAAGAGAACTACAACCTTATTTTACAGCTGTTTGTGGGTTTGGCTGTTGGGACACTCTCAGGGGATGCCCTGCTCCACCTTATCCCTCAGGTAATCTGTTTCTTTCCATTTCAGATGGAATGTGTTGAATTTCTCTTTAAATTTAACAACTGGAGGCATTTACACAAAACTTTACAGTGACTTCAATGAATAAATACAGCGGCCAGTATTTTCCTTGGAAAGAAAGAGTATTTGTCCTAAGCTTCTCAGCACTTGTGGAGGAAAAGAGACGACCAAACATTAAGTTCACCTCCTATTATTCTTATTTTTGAAATAAAAAAAAAAAGAAAAGGTGATCAGATCTAGATTCCTATTAAGAAAGATTCCATAAGGCAATATCCGTTGTCTATACGTAGAAAAAAMAATGGACTGTGAGATGTTATGCTGGTTTTTCTCCAGTTGCCTGTGCTCACTCAGATCCACACCCCATTTTTCTCTTTTCTGCCCCCAAAGGTTGCATCTCCTCAGCTCCCATGCAGGCGGGAATTTTGTTTGGGTCAAGCCCATGGGACGCCCAAGATAGATGGGAGGAGAGAGAGGCAGGTGGGTTTCTTCACAGCTCCCTCTTAGCATTGGTAAATGTTATTGTYTCAGTAACAGCACTTCCTCCCTTTGCCCTTTCTACCTGAAGGGTGGAATTGAGTTTCTGGGTTTGCTTTTCCCTTGTTGGTACCTTGGACCCTGCCCACAGCTCAGTGTAGCAACCATTATTAACTTCTCTTTCATGAAGCCCTCAGAATGGATTTCTCATTTTCTTTCTTGAATAACGGTGTCTGGATTTGTCTTCAGTAAAATGTAAGCACCAAGAAGCTAGCCCTTTGTTGAAGTTATCTAAGGGTTTCTATTTATCAGAAATGAAAGCTCTGAGACCCAAGCTACTAAAGGAGTGGTGGATATCTATTCCCTCTGAAATCTCTTCATAGGGATGGAGACCATAGACCAATGATCCTGCCCTTTGCAAATCCCAAGATGTTAAAAATTTTCCACAAGCCTCTGGCACTTTTCTACAGGGTCACTGTTGTTGCTTAGAGGCTCAATAATAATATGATGTTTGGAAAATCGCAAAGTGAGCATTGGAGAAATAAAACAAACCATTATTAGTTTTAATTTCCTTCATAATCTAATTTTCTGGAAATATTTCAGGGCTCGTTATTGGCTTGAGGCGGTGGCCAGGGCCCTTTTCTAGGTCACCACAGTGGTTACAGAGTTGTTTACTGCCTGAGAGCCTGGGAAGCCAAAAAGGATCTGAATGCTGCCTGGGTCTTTAGAGGGGAGCACACAGCTAGCTACAAGCGGCAGGGGTGGATTTGGGGGTGGACAGGAAATGTGACAGAGGTGAACTTAAAAGTTACCTCGGTTTCCTGAAATTTAGAGGGCAGTTTCTTTGCTTGAAAAAAAAAAAAGAGTTGAGAACAAGAATTATTAGAAAGAAGAGGAAAGACACAGTACCAATGTGGTGGAAAGTTAGAAAAATCAGTGTCCTGAATGTGACCCAGGTTTTCAAAAATCTGTGCAGAGCTGGGCACAGTGGTTGCATGTCTGTTATCCCAGAGGCTTGGGAGGCTGAGAAAGGAGGATTGCAAGTTCAAACCCAGCCTCAGCAAGAGCAAGGCGCTGAGCAACACTGTGAGACCCTGTCTCTAAATAAAATACAAAATAGAACTGGGGATGTGGCTCAGTGATCTAGTACCCCTGAGTTCAATCCCTGGTAAACTGTGTGGAAATGAGACAAATGTTATTGTTATAATTTCCCTTTTTATTGGCTAAATTTATTCAACTTAAAGATCTATGTTCTATCCGGAAATTAAGGTGTTTTCTTCTGCTTTATTTTGTGATATTGCAATACTCACTAGCATATGAAATAACGGTAATTACAAGTATTAGGTTGATATATGTTAACATACTTACCAAAAGAAAAACAGAATAACATAGGTTTTATTTTTAGTCATATCTATATACTCAAAGTACGCATGTAGGTACACAGTCATACTCACACATATGCATACGTACATCCCAAAGGCATTGATATCCATGGGATAAGTTCCAGGATTCCCAAGGGTGTCGCAATCCAAGAAAGCAAGGGTGTAGTATGTGCATATATCCTATACATTCAAGGGTGTAGTATGTGCATATATCCTATACATTCAAGGGTGTAGTATGTGCATATATCCTAGGCATATCCTCCCTAAACTTGAAATCATCTCTGGACTATTTACGATATCTAATACAATGTAAATGCAAAACAAACAATTATTACACTGTGTTATTAAAAGGATAATGACAAGAATAAAAGTCTGTACTTGTTCAATAAAAATTCAGGGTTTTTCCCCTGAATATTTTCAATATGCAAAGGATGCAGATGTAGATCATGGATATGGAGGGCCATCTGTACATGTGCACATGCACAAATGCCGACATTCACAGGTGTATGAACATACATACAGAAATCTATACATAATTTATTTTTTTTCTTTAATTTAGTGGTCAGGAACATTCAAAATCTGGAAACTAGTAAGCTAGTTTACAAATTTTATACTCTTAAGAAAGAAATATGATATGTAAGGACTTACAAGAAATTCTGGGAGCTGCGGCTGCAGCTCAGGGGTAGAGCACTTGCCTACCATGTGTGAGGCACTAGGTTTGATCCTCAGCACCACATAAAAATAAATATGTAAAATGAAAATATTGTGCCCATCTGCAACTAAAACAATTTTTTAAAAAAAGAAATTATGAAGTCAATTAATGGATTGAAAGAACTGATGGAAGAGTCAACCAGAGCAAAGTTCTTATTCTCAGTTCATTTCATGATTTTTGTTTGTTTTGTTTGTCCCAGAGGGCTGACAGTATTGCTGATCATATAGCATACAAGTGGAGGAATGTCTTCCAGATGGATTTCTTACATATCTGAATATTTATTAAAACTTTACTCTAGTTGCATTGGGTCAGGGGGGAATAAAATTCCAGTGAAATATCTCCTTCTGTGTTCTGGGTATAAATCATATTGATTTGGAATATTGATATACCAACAGATAGAACTTCTGGAAGAAAAAAAAGCAGCCACAAGACAGAGAATGTATAAAAATCTAGGCCACTTGCTAAAATAAAACTGAGGTGTCATTTTTATGCATCAGGATAAGCTATTCAAAGCTCTCCTTTATTTTCTACTGTATACATTTTATTTGACCCTATTTAAATCATGTAGTGGAAATATTCACATACCTAAAACAAATGGCAAACTGAGTTTTGAATATCTCAGTCATCATGAGATCCCCAGACTGAAAGCTGAATATATTAAACTACTGTGCTTACTATTTGATACCAAAGTCATCAAAAGTTCTTTTCTCCCCCCCCACCCCCTTTTTTTTAGGTTCTTGGTTTAGATAGGCAGGAAGATGCTGAGTTTGGACATTATTTTCATGAAAGCAAAGGTCATATTTGGAAACTGTTGGGTCTAATTGGAGGTATCCATGGATTTTTCTTGATAGAAAAATGTTTTATTCTTCTTGTGTCACCAAATGTCAAGGTAAATTTTAAGTTTTATTTATCCCTTTTTCCAAGATTTTATATCTTTTGTTTGAAAGGTCCTTATTCGGAAGTATTGATATCTTCATGAAGTTGTCTATGMAAGGGATAAACTCTTCAAAGAATCATTCTAATGAGTTTCTCCTATTTTTTTTAAACATATATTGCTGGTCAGTTAATGTACTTGCTACAACCTTCTACATAATCTTCATGTTTGGTACAAAACAGGACACTATTTCATGTCTGGGGAAAGTGGCTCAGGACTGGAGTTGTGGCTCAGTGGTGGAGCGTGGAGCACTTGCCTGGAATGCATGAGGCCCTGGGTTTGATACTCAGCGCTACATATAAACAAATAAAATAAAAGATCCATTGACAGCTAAAAATATTTTTAAAAAATAAAACAACAACAAAAAAGAATTGGCTCAAAGTTCTAGCTACTAATCAGGATTTAGGATGTTTTTCTTATCCATAAACAGATAACAAACAAATGAAAGCTTTGAAAGTTCACAAAATCACCAGCCATCATCTATTTTAAGGGCATTTAAAATGATACAAAACCAGAAGCTCAGGAATGTGATATGTAGCAAATATTTTTCCAGCTTGAGTAATTTCTTTCATTATAGTTTGATAGTCCTCAGGTTCTTCAGTCCTGTGGTTTTCCACGTATTCCCTGAACTTTACCTCTCCACATAACAACTGGAAACTTAGATTTAATTCCCAGGGCAAACATGACTACCTTTTAAATATCAGCACTGGTGTATTACCATTCCTAAGTTTTTACAAAGTTATTTTTATGCATCAAAATATAAAATGGCTTTATGGATGAATGGAGGGATAGGTGGGCAGATCTGTGATAAAATACATATAGGAAAATGTTAATGGTAGGATCCAAGAAGTGGTTATCTGTATGTGCCCATAGAGCATGTATGTTTGAAACTTTTCATTACTAAATGGATGTCAAGATTCAAATAGATTTCAAATCAAGTCTTATAAACATTTTGTTTCAATGAGGCAGGTTTTTCTTTGGCCTGGAGTGCAAGCTAGGACACTACATTAATTCAAAAATTATGAATTACAGCTGCAATCATAGCAATTATCCAAAACATTTAGGAAATTAGCCTCCACAAATGAAGTTCTAATCTTAAGAAGTACAAATAGCAGCTAAAGATCTCCATTTACCTACAGTAGATTAGCATTCATGGACTGGGAAAGCTAAGCTAAAATATCAGTCTATCTCTACTGAATGGTTAGATGTTTAACCAGTTTGGAAATGTGTAAAATAAATTCTGAAAAACTAATCTGTAGTTCATTTAGATTGTCCTTGAGCTTGTCATGAAACTTAAAATGAGTTTCAACAATATAATTTCAAGAAACTTTTTATTGCTGGGCAAGGTGGCATACGCCTGTAATCCCAGCAGCTTGGGCGGCTGAGGCAGGAGGATCGCAAGTTCAAAGCTAGCCTGAGCTACAGCGAGGTGCTAAGCAACTCAGTGAGACCCTTTCTCTAAATAAAATACAAAATAGGGATGGGGATGTGGCTGAATGGTTTAGTACCCCTGAGTTCAATCCCATTACCAAAAAAAAAAAAATTATAATGCTCTAATTGAAGAATGCCTTACTGGAGATATTATTTTAGTAATTATGTACAATACAGTGGATGATTTTGCTATCTCTATCAGAAAGCATTAAAATTAAATTTTGTTTAAATAGAATTTAGTGATAAAAAGACAATATAAAAACTACTACCTTTCAAACCTCTCTTACTCTCAACTAGACATTTTTAAAATTGTATTCTCAAAGCATTCTGAGCATGCATGATTGTTGCAAAGAAGAACTGTGCTTCTCCAAGATTAGACATTTTAGCAGATATCCATCACGAGGGACATATTCCTGGTGTTCTATTTATAATACCCAACACTCTGAGCAATAAACAAAATGTTCAATGGAACCCTGGAATTGACAAAGTTGCACCTGTGTTCCTCTGTCTTCCCCACTAATTTTAAACCATCCTTATCCAGCAGGGCCTGTCATTGGCTAATGGACACGTGGGACATTCCCACCACCTTGCGCTGAACCCTGAATTAAGTGACCAATCAGGAAGAGGCAAATCTCCTTCAACTATCCAGTTGGTAGGTTACTAATCTAAATGAAACATTCTATTAATGTGATTGCCTTCTTTCCTTTATTTCTCATTGAACAGATGAAAATCAGTAGGGTAGACAGAAGAGAATCCACTCCTGATTTGCCTATTCATCATCATGATAGATACCAGAAAAATCTGCCAAGCACTTGAAGCTGTTTTAAAGAACAAAAAGCCCTGTCTGCAGACTTAAGTGATTGCTATCTTTACCACTCTGTATCACTTACTTATGGATAAGATGGATACAACAATCAACTTGTAAATTTTGTTTACAAGTTTTCATGAACCAGTTGACCTTTAGATTTTCCATTTTGTATGTTCCTAGCTACTTCTAGGTTGATGCATATAAATGTTGAGTAAGGTATTAGTGTATCCAGGGCTAGGGCATTTATTTTATCATGCAAAAGAGAATTGATTATGTCCAATGAGATGTTCCATAGTGGGGGCCTTTGATTCCACTGAATTCTCCACAACAAAATCTTCCATGTTCATTTTTAAAATACAATTCCACTAAGGTTCAAAACAATATTCTCTTTCCACTTAAAGAAACAAGTATAGAGGCAGGAGAAATATGAAAGTGATATGTAACTCTTAACTCATCTCTTGTAACCCTAGCTTTGACATAAGGGGTTTATAGTTCAAGGATACCTGAGTAGAGATAAGTTAGCTATTCACGAGAGATTAACATAGCAAAATAGAAATCTGATAATAGATTCAGGTCTAATGCCAACTCAGAGACATTGACATAAAAATATTCTTTTMAGATGATTTTGAAAATTGTATTCTATTTATTACTTAGGTATTTTAAATGTGTTTTWAAAAAAACAATAGTTTCGGGCTGCAATTAGTTTTGAAATCACTTTACTGCAGGCTTTATTTCTTCTGTTTCACTGAAGAGCCCACAACCTCAAGACACGTGTAAGCAAACCTCTGAAGCTAACTTTGTTTTCAACTCTTTGAACACTTGGGGTCACTAATATATTTCACTGTTACTTTAATTATTTAAGCCGCAAGATCAATCTTCTATTGCAAAATAGAAATCATGTGAACTTTTAAAACTGTTTCATGGGTTCCATTTCTCATTTTTTTCAGGAAAAGTATAGCTTGAAGGAGGAAAACCCTCAATTTTTCCCAACCAATGAGGAACCTTGAACATTTGCCTCTGATTTCCTTTGCATAGTATGATGATATATACTTTTTTTTTGGTCAGAGAGAGTATTGTGGGATTAATATTTGGACCCCTTCCTTTTAGTAGAACTATAGAACATTTTTCTTCTGGTCAGGCTTTTGATATAAAATATTCACATCGCTTTCATGTTTCTAGATCTGCTCAATTTCAGGCAAGAGGCCTGAAACTCTAAATTGTTATCTTTCAGGTCATACTCACTTCTTAACCTTCCTTCTCAAAAAAAAAAAAAATAGCCTATCTATACAACCTGGGRTTACTGTGCCATGTGAACTTTATTTACTTTCCCTTTCACATGACAAAAGACATTTATTTCTCACATTAATTTGTATCAAAATGTCCCTAATTGGGGGAGTGATAGAGTTATGTGAATATACTTCTCAAAGGACACTGTTTCCCATTGGAGGAAAGCATTCTTTTCACAAAATAAATGAAGAATCTGAGACCCAGAAAGGGTATCCTACAAAAATCAAACTGACTCAGTCTCTGAAATAAAATCAGGTCGTGATAACTTACACCCTAGAAAGTAATTTCAAAATCTTCTCTGTCATGTGTGAAAGGATGAAAAATTTTAATAATCTATTTGTTTATGTAAGTCTGTAGATCTATTTTACAAATTGACAAGACTCTTTGACTAGAAAAAYAATAATAACTTTTTTAAAAAAGAATATTATACTGCAGTGAGTGAAATAAAGTGTTAGGTTTGCAAGCCTTTCTTTTCCATCCAGAAGATGCCATCTGCTTGCACAGCGGAAGAGGAATCCTAGATGTACTATCCACTCTCACAGGAGATGTGACAAATGAGGGCAAGGATCATTTTTTTTTTCTCTACCGCTTTTGGGTTTCATAAAAGCTTGCATAATTTAAAAGTCTGAATTACAGACTGTCTCTTGGTAGCCTACAGCCATCCACGGAAAGGTACTGATCTGTGTAAGAGAGCTATTTTTATCTAAACGTAGGTAGTGCAAAAAGTCTTCACATTGTTCAATTTTAGATTACATATTGTCTATGAAACCRAGTAGTTTTAACGTCTACCTAGAGTATCAAAATATCTTTTAAAGCTCAATATAACTCTTCAGATGTTTATGTTTCAGCCAAATGTGACTGTTACCCGCTTTTCACCAGTTTATTTTTAAATTGTCAATAGAAAGGTCCAGAAGATTTACACGCTGCAGAGAGTCCCATAGACAGTATGACAGCCTCCCACAGAAAATGTGAGTACCAATTTAAAACAAAACAAAACAAAAAAACAGGTCTGGGGTTGTGGCTCAGTGGCAGAGCACTGGCTTAACACGTGTGAGGCACTGGGTTCGATTCTCAGCACCACATGAGAAACAAATAAAATAATGGTATTGTGTCTATCTACAATTAAAAAAAATAAAAACCCAATAACTCATCTTTAAATGTAGTAAGTTCCATAAAAAAAGACTGTATCTGTTTAAAAATAAAATGGCAAAAGCATATAATTTCATATTGGATACCTAGTTCATTATTAAAAACTTAGCAATAAGATCTTCAATAAAAACCCATTCTCATCTGTCTCCCATACTAACACATTCATAACAAYTTGACTCCATTCTTTTAAAATGACATTTTCCCCCTTTGCCTAGATTGAGAGGTCCTAAAATCTTCAGTGTATACACATGCATGGTTATTAGGACTCCTTTTCAATTATGCCTCTATGATGTTTGAGACTTTTAATTCACTCTGAAATGTGGAGACTTCCTTGTTTTTTTTTTTTTTAATCTTCTTTCAGAGTCGAATAAAAGTTCATCACAAATGTCTGTCTTGTCATACTGCCATTAGGACAGCAGAGTTCAAATTTGGTGATGTTTYATTATTCACAACTTTTTCTATAACTCATTTGTTCATCAAGCTTTCCATCGACCTTTTTTTCTTTCCATTTCACCATTTCTCCATTTAATTTCCCAATTGTAGATAGAACTTTATGCCTCTTTGCTATGTTTTTGAATAAGTCTTTGAACTTCTTTGTTTTTGGTTTTGGTTTTCATTAGTTGCTTTTGAATCTTGGCCCCATTTTTTYCCCATTTATGTTACTGTTTTGTGACACAAACTTCCTAATGTTTTAATGTTAACCAGTTATGATTAGTTATTCCCATTGTACCACAATAAGTTAGTCAATCAGTGACAAAAAAAAAAACAGCTAGGAAGAACTGAACTCTTCTTATAGGCCAAGAACAATGTTAAACACTTGATGCGGACTACCTTGTTCAATTCTCCCACAATTTAGATACAAATAAATATTATCTAAATTATACAAATGAAGAAAGCAATTGTTAGAGAGGTTAACTCATTGCCCAGAATAGCTAGTCAACTCCAGCACTGGGGAACTAAAAAAAAAATGCTAATATACCAACAATTTCTTTGTGATTATTTATTCATGCATGCAGCCAAGGATCCTCTCACATTCTTTTTTTTTTTTTCATTCAAGAAGTGTTTGAAGATATGTGGTGCTAGAGGCACTGTGTATGCAGTGGAGAACAAAATAAGAAGGTTCCTTATCCATGGTCTGTTACCTAGTTTGGGATATAAAAACTAATAAGAGCAAATGCTTATTAGCATTATAACCATGATTGTTGTAGCAATGGCTATTCAAAGTGCTTTAGATATATTAACTCATGCAATTGATGTGTTTCTTTTATTCAAAATATAKAATTACATGTGCTGGCAAGTTCAACTTCTAAGACACTGCTAATATTGCTTTCCTTACTGAATTTTTAGTTCCAGGATCAATTTAGAATATTTGGCCCTTAGTAGGTCCATCGTCAGTGTTKTTGTTGTTGTTGTTTTCTTTTTTGAAAGAAAGGAAGAGGAAAGAAGCTGTGTCAAGTCAAAATTAGGACCAGGGAATGAAAACTAGATGGGGGGGGCATTAATGTTCTTAATCAAATATTTTGTAGTTTGCATATCTTCCCATTTCAGATATCAAGCTTGGCMTTCAGAATGAAAAGTGAACAAATCCCAATTAGAATATGCAACTGCCCGTCTGCCAGGAAAACACTGAATTAGCTTCAAACATTTGATTACTTGTTTCCTATTACCTCATTGGTAGAACTCAGCTTGTGTTTCAAAAGACAGGGTGTGAAAATCCTATCCACAGTCTGATTTAAATAAACAACAACAAAAAAAATCATATTAGTTCCAGCTCATGTTTCACCATGGAAAACCTCAGATATATAGAAAATGTTAACACAATATGACTGCCAGGTACATGAGCAAAGGTAAAAATATTATAGATTTTTCTCTAATGAGYACATTAAATTACCAACGGATGCTTATCTTCCTCTAAATGTTGTTTGAATTATCTTAAAGAATAGTCTTCTTTGTGGCTTACATGCAAATGTGTATTTTGCCTTGTGGCTGGTTACATATCCATATTCTGACATTTAGAAACCCATAATCAGAGATAATTAAATAACAGACAGCAGAAATAGGCCATACTGTTTCCTAGCACAGTGTATTTTGGCTAAAAAATCTTTCATTTGAATATATTCTATTAATATCAAAACTATATGTAGGCACAGGGAAATCACAATTTTATTTGCCTGATGCAATGTGGTCAGATATATCACTTTAGATTTTGAAACATTATTTATCTCAGAGAAGAGCATTATCTCTGAAAAATTGGCAGGAATCRCTAAGTGACTAGTACCATTATTGAACTCTGAGAGCTTCTGGAGAATGCTGGTAAGAGCTTGCTGAATGTATTAATGCAATATTTTCTTGTGCRTTTATGACTACTGCCTGAAATTTGCCCACTTGTAATAAAGAATAAAATGAGTTAATAAACCACAAGAAGTATGGAAGCGATATTTGTAAATAAGTATAATATTTAGAAAGTGAGATGATGGGACACCTCTGCATCACAGGCAATAACAACCTCCTGGCTAAAAATCTGGCCTATGATTGCTGTTTATTGAAGCTACTTATTTTATGATGTGAGCTATACAATATGCCAAATAACATTCCCTAAATAAAATAACAAACCATATTATAATAGTCCCTCTGGATCTCAGACCATGTATGGGCTGAAACCACAAGATAACTTCTTTTTTTATGAGCAGAGGTAAAACATCATAGATATTTTATAATTATTCAATGTACAATTATTCAAATGATGTTTTCAGTTCTAACAGTAATRACAGTTCCTGCTTACACCTGTTGCACACTATACGTTCAGATGAATAATTAATAAAAATTTGGACTATGACAGTTGGTGAATGCATGTTCCCATCAAGTGTTATGCCTGGACATTTTACTATCAGAGCAAGTGTTACCCTCAAAATACTTTTTTTGTGTTTGTTAGTTATTCCRTTCTTGTAATTGGGTTATAACCTAAAATGTAGGATTTTCAAAGCAGAAATCTGTGTATTAAAGACTTGAACCCAATTTTGGTCAAAATCGTTTTATCTACTTTCTCTTAATCTCTCATAGAATTCCATGAGAACTGAAACTTCTCTTTATTTTGTTCAACATCCAAGTAGATGTATTGAAGGTTATTTTGTAGAAAGACAAATATATTGAATCATTGTTTCAAAGATAATTGACAGGCAGAAGAGTTGGTTATGGCACTGTTGCAGTCACAGTTGGGGAGTGAATGAAGTAATTTAGAATGGTCATTAGCACCAATTAGAAAAGATAACAGATGATCACAGGATGGCAGAACATACACTGCAGCAGATTATCACAAGGACCATCAGATTCAGAGGAACTGTTTTGGAGAATTGACTCCCCTTTAATAACATTCTGCAGGGAGGTTTGTCTTGGTCCATTTGAGTTGCTATAACAAGCTACTATAGACAAGATGGTTTATAAACAACAGAAGTTTCTATCTCACCGTTCTGGAACCTGAATGATCAAGATCAAGATGTCATAAAGGCAAGGACCTCCTTTTTGGTTCCCAGATGGCACCTTCTCAGTGATTCTCCATGTGGCAGAAAGACCAAGGGAGCTATCTGCCATCACTTTTATAAGGACACTAATCCCATATATGGAGACTCTGTGCTCATCACCTAATCACCTGTCAAAGGCTCCATCTCCTAGTACCATCACATTAGGAGAATAGTTTTCAACATATGAATTTGGTGGGGGTGGGGACACAAGCATTCTGAATATAGCAAAGTTCTTAAGTTATTTTAAAATACAAAAGACAAATAGGAAGGCCATCAATAGTACTGGGGGAGGTTACAACATTGTTTTTGTTTCAAATAATTACTGCCAGCATAGAATTTATCTCATTATTTATCAGACCAGCGGGGAAAACAGTGACCACTTTAAATGTATTGGCTACCATGTTTGCATCTCTAGTCCTGATTTATTTTGAAAGCTGAAACAGAGTAGGGTTATTTRATTAGATGCAATGTAAGAATGTCAAGGGTCGATGGGAAAACTGGTCAGATTTGAAGGATGTCATGAAATATGTAGTGCTCTGCTAATGCTTCTCATGCCTTTATTTGGTTCCATAGGCAAAACCATTAGCTTGTTAGCCATAATGATTCTGGTTGGGGACAGCCTGCATAATTTTGCAGATGGCCTAGTGCTAGGAGCAGCTTTCTCCTCTTCATCTGAGTCGGGAGTGACCACAACAATTGCAATCTTGTGCCATGAAATTCCACACGAGATGGGTAAGTCTTACAATAGAATCACTCTTTTGCTAATTGTTGAGAAAGTCCTAATATACTTCTAGCCAGGGTTTACTTAGATTCTTTTTCCAACATACAATTGAAAGATGAATACTTCATGTTTATGATTTATTTAAACCATAAAAGAAGGAAGGCACCAAAAAATTCCTATACCTTGAGATAAAACTCAAGTCGTTTCCTTTCTGATCTTTCCCAAGTCCAGAAATGATGATGGATTCCAGAGAATTCTGTATGAGAGAGTCATTCAGAGAACTCTCCTTTTAGAGAACTCTGGCAAGGGTTTTAAATTCTGCATGCTAAATGTGGGAAAATATTAAGAGGGGGAACTTCACCCATTATGTTAGAAAACAGGCCAATGATATAACATAACATTTAAATTGAAACCAACTCATGGTTTACCAACTTGATTTAAACAAAATGTTTAAAGCCAAGCATAAAATTGAAATGACAGGCATATGGTAGCAGATACATATAAGACTTCTTTTTCCGGATAATCTTAATAGCCCTGAAATTCAAGTCCTGCCTCCCAGGAACCAAGATGGGATAAAATAAAGATTTCCAAAGCGGACTCGGAAATAGTACAGATGGATCTGTGTCTGTGCATGCATACACACAATGTGCCTCAGGGACATGACTCTTCACAGTCATTTTTCTGCTTCTACTTTCAGCCTACCTGGCCTCTTGGACCACCCCTTGCTCAAGGGTGTTCATTGATCAAAGTCCTGTCACTGACTCATTGTTAACTCATCTTTCTTGGAGTAGTTTATCCTGAGCTTACTTATGTATATCTGGTCTAGAAGTTGTACCCTACATCCCTATGAGTAGCTACTGTGATAGTGGCTGATCCTTGATCCAAAATCACAGGGCAGTGGGACAGTCTGCAGCAAACCCACAAAATTACTTCAAGACGTGTTCATGGGACCCATTATGTAATGGAACTAGGAAGTAGAGTCCCAGGGCATCTCTTTATTTGATGTTCATCTCTTCTAATCCCTGAGATTAAGAAATAGATACTCTGAGATTTAGATAGATCATTCTTTATTTAGAGGATAGGGATGTATGGAAGAAGGTTGTTTTTCTGTACTCATGAAGACAGCAAAATGATTTTCTGAAGGAAAAATTTGTTCTCTTGACCTGTAATGAATTTTAAAAAAAATATCTTGACTGGTTTTATCTTTCCCAACAGCAGTTTCTGCATCAGTAAGTTATTGAAGTCCATATAATGTCATGATTTCCCCTGGTAAATTGCCAGGCATAAATATTTAGAAACCCTGGGATAGAGAGTGACTCTATTTTGCATTTATCTAAGTTGAAAATGCATGGGATATCAGGAACTGAAGAATATGTCATAGACCTCTCTGTATAGGCTCTATTTAGGAGAAGCAAAAGGAATAGAATTTCACACTGCAGCTCCCTATCAGTAGAATGAACTTGCTGAAAATCTTATAGAAATACAGGACAGCACTTTTACTAATTTATCAGTCAACTTTACAAATGAAATTGGTTCCAGCTTCTGAGATTAGAAACAACCGAATAGCACATTACTTTTCAGACATCACTAGTTAAATGATAATTACACTCTTTTTTCCCCTTAAACTTCAGGAGACTTTGCTGTGCTTTTAAGCTCTGGACTCTCTATTAAGACTGCCATTCTGATGAATTTTATAAGTGCTCTAACTGCCTTCGTAGGACTATACATTGGCCTCTCAGTGTCCACTGATCCATGTGTCCAAGACTGGATCTTAACAGTCACTGCTGGAATGTTCTTGTATTTATCCCTGGTGGAAATGGTAAGCTCTTTTGGCTTTTCTATTTTGTTTTGTAACCACTAAAAATGTAAAAGCATTTTAAAAAGTACATGCCTGTAATCCCAGCAACTCAGAAGGCTGAGGTAGGAGGATTGCAAGTTTTTGAGGCCAGCCTCTGATACCTTAGGGAGACCCTGTCTCAAAATTAAAAAAAAAAATTTAAAAGTCTGGGGATATAGTTCTCTGGGGATATAGTTCAGTGGTGGAGTGCCCCTGGATTCAATACCCAGTACGAGAGAGAGAGAGAGAGAGAGAGAGAGAGAGAGAGAGAGAGAGAGCGCAATAAGCAATTAAAATGGAAGGGTAAATAGGTACAAGATAAGAAGAATATAGATAATAATATATTTAAATGACTAAGTAAATATTCAATGAAATCCAATAAGGTAAATTGAAGTAAAAAATAACATAATTTCAGGTACAGAAAATATTGACATTCTATTAGTCATCTAAGTGGAAAGAATGAAATGTTTATAATTATCAAAATGTGGCTTATTCTGTTCCAGTATTGCATCTTGTATATAATGTCTGAACTCCCAGTTGACAAATGAAGTGTTTTATTAAACAACCATTTTACTCATACAATGAAATATAGTTCCATGGAATTTATCATCAATGATTRTTTGATTTAATCAACCAATTATATTTTTAAAATAAAAATTCATCATTGAGTTTAACTGCCAAAGGTCTATGAGCTAGAAAAATGAGAAAGATTATGAAAGCATTTGTTCTATAAAATGCAACATGTTTCCTCAAGAGTTCCTCACTGACACTAATCACAACTCAATTATCATGTTTCATTCCTATAATCTTATGAAGGATTCGAAGCTGGGAAATTTTACCCTTTTATTTTAATTAAATTTTTCCCCTCTTAAATTCTGGTTCCTATAAGATACCAGTCTATWTTTTTCAGATTGCCCTCTGTTGGACTTCAAAATATTTTCTGGGTAATGATCCTAATGATTATCCCTTCTGATGGCTTGGACTAGGGCAGATAAAAATTCAATAAATTGGCAAAAGAAGCATTGAAGACTGAAAATCAATCTAAATGGGAATAAATTATGTCATTATGTATGTTGAGAGGATAAAGCAAACTAAAGCAATGCTGGAAGTAATATGTCTAATAGATCGGACAGCAGAATCAGCTATAGCCCCAAGAGTGAATAAAAAGAAATGTTTCATGAAGAAAAAAATTATGCAATCAGGAGCCTGGGCTGATGCAATCAGAATGGTGCTTTCTAGAAGACTGCAGAAAGGGAACTCTCAGAGTAAACACCATCATTTTAAACCCCYAAGTATTTCTTTTCCTTAATTCTTATGAAATCCAAGTAGCTGAGGTTATTACCAAATAAATGTACTTCCATATTTAGAATTGTTCGTGTATATTATTTGGGATGTTCAGAAAATTTTATTAATTTTGATAATGAAGCTAAAAGTGGAGTAGATTCAACCCTCCCTTTCTGAACCCCATCCCCTCAACCCCAACCCCCAACCTGTGGTCGATGTGACAGCATCCTGTGATCCCTCCCATGTGAGAAATTCAGATTACCAGCTTTTTGTGACTTCAAAAACATACTGTCACTCACCATGACATGACATGGGTCTATCCTTTGTTTAAAATGTCTACATATCAATCTTCAGATTCACTCTTGAGCCTTCAGATTTTCAGATTTCTAGTTTCTGTTTTCTTTATGGGGTCAGTTGGGGGCAGTTGCTGTATTCTTTGGAAGTTTATTCTGTTTTTAACCCAGACTGGATCTCTCTTCAAGTATGATGGATGTATATGTACGTACTCAATCTTTTTTTCTTTGTTATGGTGTCTTAAGCTTCCAAAATTGATCTGGGAAGATTATCAAGTGCCATTTGTCATGTAGAACCCTAAGCTAAATGTGTCATTTTTCTCCTCAATGTCTCTGCTACTTATCTGGTAAGAGTAAGTAATTGCTTTATAAGAAAGCAATGTAGCCCATACCCTAGGAGACTCCAGCGAGCATAAATCTTGACCTTATTGCAGATGACTATTGGCCAAGGGGGAGCAAAAAAAAAAAACATATCCTGGCAAAAAGACAGGAAAGTAAATACTCTGAGTTTCCTGGGGCTGCTTCCTAAAATCCAGGTCGCCTGCTCTCACGGCCTTCTGAGTAACTTCTAAACAAATACAGCTCTTTCACATAGCAGCAAGTTTAACTATTGCTGTATTCTGGGGCTGTGCCAAAGAAAACAGTCTGTCGTTTAAAGAGAAGAAAACAAGGTTCCAAGACTCTGTGAAACAGCAAAGAAAATAAATGACAGCAACTGAAGGGTAAAGGGGAATATTCTAGAATACTCRTTACTTGCTATATTTACCAGGCACTTTTCTGTGCAGGGTTACCGTGAAAAGATTAGCTAGATGTTTGTTTGTTCGTTTCAAAGAAACGGAGTGTGTTATTTCAAACTCCTRAAAGAGAAAGAATGAGAGGCAAGAATGGGGGCCATTAGCTATGAGGTCAACAAAGAAGAAAGTCTTCTCTGGGGAAAATTGCCAGCCTTTTCTCCAAAGTGGAAGGCCTAAACCCAAGCCTGCTGACTCCCAGTCGCGTTGATTGATTTCTAAAGAAGTCAAGAATGAATGCAGCTCTGTGTGGCCCCAGGAAATCAGTTTTCTGCTATGAAGATCAGTGTCCTAGTGAATTTTCCCCAAACCAGAAACAAGGGTGACTGTGAAAGCCATTCTGTGGGGACATGACTTCAGAGAGCAGAAGCAAAGTCCTGAAAAGGGAAACAGACCATCCCACAGGACCCTCCGGAGGAAGCCTTGAAAATTTACTTTAAACTTACCTGGAGAGTGAAAAGGCCTTTGTCTATATGGGCTCTTGTCCCATTTTTCAAAACTGTTCCTACAAGTATCTTCTCTCCACACTCCTAGACGAAGCATGTTGGAGCACCAAGGTCATTCCCACTGAGCTTATGTGCCAAGACATCAGAGAGCCCCAAATCAGGAGAAAGGAATGTGGTCTAGAACTGAAGCAAGGGTCTGTACAAAACTAGTCAATACCCACTTGGAACTGATCTCTGCAGCAGTGGCTGGGGTAGGAGCCTTGAGAATAGAATCTAACACAGTGACGTCCATCAACAGTCGGCCCCTTCTACCGCTCAGATATGCTCATAACCACTTTTAATTTTAAGTCCCTTCTATCCCAGWGTCCCCTTATGATGGTAGCCAGTCAAAAACTCCATGAGAACATAATACAAAATAGTTGGCAGAACAAGTGCCAAACCCTGCTGTTTTAGTCAACTTTTTCATTGCTGCGACTAAAAATCTGTTCAGAACCATTTTAGGGGAGGAAAAGTTTATTGGAGGGCTCACGGTTTCAGAGGTCTTAGTCCATAGAAGGCCAGTTCCATTCCTTAGGGTTTAAGGCGAGGCTGGACATCATGTGGAAGTGTGTGGCAGAGGACAGCAGCTCACATGATGATCAGAAAGAAAAAGAGACTCCATTCTCTAGATACAAATTACATACCCCATAGCCACGACCCCAAAGAACCACTTCCTCCAGTCCACTCCACCTGCCTCCAGTCACAATCCAGTTAATCCCATCAAAGAGCAAATCACAGATTAGGTTAGGGATACAACCCAATCATTTCTCCTCCAAATCTTCTTGCATTGCCTCACACAGGAGCTTTGGAGGAATATCTCACATCCAAACCATAACACCTGCTGCTCTGGAGGCCTTATTTGATACTGAACATCTCTGACTTCCAGCACCCAGTCTTCCTCCTCCTCCCCCCCAGGCAGCATTTGGCTGACATAGATTCTCTTTCCGGAAGAAGAAGCCTAGCTCTTCACTGAGGAGTCTGAGTCCTAGTTGCTTTGTTCTTAGCGGGTCCTGTTTCCTCTAGTGGCCTGTTTACCATTCTACCAGACTTGAAATCATCAAGAGAGGCTCCAAGGACTCCCCCAGTTTCTGGATAGGTTCCTTCTTCCCCCATGGGGTGGCAGTAGCCCTAGCTTCTCATGAGGACTCCCACCAGTGTAGTGACATGTTGTTGGTATTTGATCCACTGGTATGGGAACCCCAGATGATCACAGAGTGGTCATAGCTTTATGTTCAATGGAAACATTATTTTATTCCCTGGTGCATTCTCCCCAAGAACACAATCCACAATCTAACTGTGCCTAGCTTTATAGGAATAGTAAGCACAGATGTCATGATTGTAGAAACTAGTAATGACGGTGTATCAATGCTTTACGATTGTTTTGTTGTTTCCACTATGATCACTTTTCCTGCCTTCCTTCTTAAATGTATTTACTTTTTATTCTTTTGCTTTATGAGGTAAAATATTATATCATGTATTTTCAATCATTATTATTTTCTAATATTAGCATTTAAAGCTATACATTTCCCTCGAAGCACTGCTTTAGCTGACTCATATATTTTATTTATTTATTTAAAAATTTTTATTGGTTGTTCACAACATTACAAAGCTCTTGACATATCATATTTCATACATTAGATTGAAGTGGGTTATGAACTCCCAATTTTACCCCAAATGCAGATTGCAGAATCACGTTGGTTACACATCCACAATTTTACATAATGCCCTATTAGTGATTGTTGTATTCTGCTACCTTATTTTAATATGTTGAGTTTTCAATATTGATCATTTTGAAATGTTTTTAAATTTCTCATGTTGTTTTTTGTTTCCCTTTTGATCTATGGGTTTTATAGAAGTAGGTTACCTATCAGTATGCAGACTCTTTCTAAAATATTTTAGTTGTTGATTTTAATTGAATTCCCTTTTAGAGTAAGGGTGTATTCTATTCCATTTTTACCAACTGAAATGTTTTGAGACTTATTTTATGGTTAAGCACAAAAAATATTGACAATTTTAATGAATGAACCCTAATACATTTGAATATTRGAGATCAAATTTGGCAGCATTGGAGATCAAACCTAGGACCTCAGGCATGCTAAGTTAGAACAGCAGAATACAATAGACACTAG